TAAATAGACTATTTACTATTTGGTTTGATAGTGTTCTGCCATCCATAGTTTAAAACTTAACATATCTAATATATATTACAGTGTTAATTTTATCTATAACATTTTAAGAAAATGTAAAATGCTATGACTGTAATAAGTGGAAAATAGAAAAGTTCCACTTACAGAGCAAAAGCCAAGGTGTTTGACGTGATGTCAAAGGCTGTTTAAATATATAATTTATCCCATCTGTTCTTTCTGCCACATACCCAATAGTAAAGGATTAAAAGTTAAAAAAAGAGAGAGACAGTTAAAAAAAAAGTTGGCAATTTCTAGCTGTTTGGTTAGTATAAACTGCTTTCTTATGAGGAAATTTCTCCCAGTACATGAAACTATCCTGCAAGTTAGAATTTACTTTTCTTTCAGTCTGATGCTATGATATTTAGAAGTAAAATAAGACATAAATTAGCTGCATTCCATATTTCAAATGGTCTGTACATTCTGTTTAATATCCAATGGTACCTGTTGTCATAGTTTATTAAGGGATAAACTACCTTAAATATAAAGATGTCATTCATTCCAAATTTAAAACAATATTGGAGTTAAATGCCAAGGGAGAACAGATAAAGGAGATTTCTGCCAGAAAAATTTCCCAGCAGCAATATCAAAGAGAAATGAGGAATAATGTTTCTAATTGGAGACATGTAGGGGACTATAAGGTACATTGAATTTAATTACTAGACTTGGAATAAGGCCAGGACTGCAGGGTTAATACCTTTGTGATTTCAAAGAGTGGCATGGGAGTGAGTATGCCTGTCAAGCAGTCAACAAGACTGGGAAATGTTCCTCTGTATTAATCCTAAAACAGCTTTAGCAATTACTCTGGGGTGATGAGATCTTTATACAATCTATATTAATTATGATACTATTATTATTTTTAAATGATATACTTCATCATAATATAATTTAGAGGACATTATAATCTTAATATAGTCAGTGTAAAAAAAAGTATCAGCCTAAACTATTTTAAAATATTAAAAATTTAGATCCATCCCACATTTATAAAACTAAAAAGCTGAAATTCTTTTCTTAAAATGATGTGTTCTCATACATGACTTTGTTGTTGCTTGTTATTTTTAATGCATCTATCACAGAATAAAGGAACCTTATTGGCATAAACCCTAGGGAGAGCGGCTAAGCCAAAGGCAACCCCTTGCTGCCAGTTCAAAGCCACTAGCCATTCTCAGGGAGAAAGATGGATAATCTCCTCTCCTGTAGTTTACTGCATCTGAAAACTCTTAAGAGGGTCAGCTATGAGGCAGTTCTTACTGGAGGACTATGAGTTTGAGTGAATACTAGAATAAAAGGTTTTCTGGAGGGGTAGTTTGCCGTGTATAGTGTTGCTAAGTAGAAGGTCTCATGTCTTCAGTGGATCATGCCCACCAGCCTTTCTGTGGAGTAGACAGTCTCCTCATGTTAAATTTTACAATTTCAGAAACCGAGTACAGAGCAACTATAAGTCCATCTCAGAAGCATTGAGTATGAATGCAGTTTTGTAATTAACAAACTTCCTTCCTCTCTATATAGCAATATTAAACCTTATTCTTTGGAAGCAGGAGTGGCATCCACTTCCTAAACAACACACCTCTGCAAACTCTGAACTTTGATGAATGACAATAGTTATAGAAAGGCTTCAGGGTTTTTGTTCATAGGGTTGTTAGTGAGTCATGCTCGTCGACTCAGTCACAGTCAGCAACAATAAAACAACAAATATTATTCATTCTTATTTAAGTATCTCATTTCATTTTACTTAGAACCAAAATCAATGTCTGTGATGCAGCTATGAAAAAAATCAAGCTAAGTATTACATTTGGAAAAACTCAATGTAAAAAAACCTTGAGTGTTAAAAAGCAAAAAAAATGTTGCTTTGAGGACTAGGATGCTTCTCACCCCATGGCATTTGCCTTATAGACTTATAAATGCTAGACAATGAATAAGAGTTAAAAAGCAATGCTTTAGAATTACAGTGTTGATAAAGATAGTAATGACACAATAGACTGTCAGAAAAACAAATTAGTCAGCCAAGCAGAAGAGCCAGAAAACTCCATAGAAACAAGGATGGTGAGACTTTGTCGTGTTTACTTTTGACAAGTTAACTTGATGGACTAATGCTTGAAGAGTACCATGATTGGTAAAGTCACAGAACAAGAAAGAGGCAGTCTTTCAGTAAACTGGATTGACAGAGTGGTTGCAACAAAGGGCTCAAACGTAACAGTAATCGTGAGATTGTAGCAGGATCAGGTTGTGTGTCATTCTGCTGTCCATAGGGTCACTGTGTGTAGGAACTGAGTAGATGGCAACTAAAAACAGCATAATAATGTTTTAATATAATTAAGTTTAATTAAACATTTATTTTTCATACAAATTCTATTTTGCCATTATACTAAGCATTGTAGGATAAGAAATTCAAGATTTGAAATCTCAACATAAACCATTGGAAAACTATATGAGTCAATTGTGTGCTGACTTTGTGGGGACAAAAGAGATATGCCTGCAAATTATACTTTCTTTTGTCCAGAAGACAGTTCCGTAAATCCAAGGACACGAGGCAGACATTCTAAAAGAGCTTCACAGTTTTAATAGAGAAAATTCACATTGAGAGTCTGAGTTAGTGCAGGACATTATTTCAGCAAGGAAAAACCAGAAAATCTCCTAGAGAATCTCCTACATAGAAGTTTCTTCAAAATTTGCTTTTTATTGGAGGACAAATGCATAAGATGAAACTCCACAAGTTTCTCCCTATTTCCACCCAAACTTTAAAGAACCATTTTTGGAGCTCATTCTATTGAAAAGAGATTTTCACGCTCTTATCACTAGAATTGAGAGAACTTAGACATCATTTAGGATAGGCAATCATGACCCTCAAGGGTGAACACTTTAAATAATGCTGAGCCATTTCTAAAGAGACACCTATTTTAGTTCTATGTCAAGAAAGTATAAAAAACAAATATCAAAGGAATCAAGTAGATTTCATTTCAATTGCTTTAAAATTATTGTTGTTGTTGTTATGTGCCGTCGAGTCGTTTACGACTCATAGCGACCCTATGCACAACATCCCTAAACCCTGCTCTATCCTGCGCCAACCGCACTGCCTCTGAC